ATTCAAGCTTGTGCATTGAGTATCAAACAAATAATGAATACCGGGACAAATTTTTCATGTCAAAATGTGTTGAGTACCAAATCCGATGACTTTCAAAGCAGTTGAATACCAAGATACCTGATAAACGTTCCAAATATCATGCAGAATTAAGAATGCCTAGTAAGGAATTTGATCCAAAATATCTAGGTCCATTCCCAATAGTGAAGATAATTAACCCAGTTGAAAGTTCATGATCTTATCCCCACACCCATAAATCTATCACATGGTCCAATCTTCTTCGGCCACGCAGGCATCTCCACCCAGCTGCTTCTGGTCAGGTACGGAGACAAAAGATGACTTTGGGCTTCTAGAAAGGAATGACAACAACACATTCCACAATTCTACTCTTTTCTATTCCCCCTCCCAATTACTACATTAATGAAACAGTGTAATGTAATAATAGAGAATGTGGCAGGCCAAAGATCTTAAAAAGGAATATAACTGCAGGCCTAACAGTAGCATTGTGTTTTTGTCTATGAGAGTTCAATGTGGAATGGTCTGAAAATCCTGGGACAGGTATTGTACAGTACATAAGGTGGGATATCATATTTGCATTATGTATATGTGGAGAAGCAATCTAGTTCTTCAAATGATTGGAATTGGGAAGGGGGAATTCTATCAATTTTTTATAAATCTGTTCAATTGAACTTGCTGCACTTCAAACTATTTTCTTAAAAGCTATATTAAAATTTGTACTTTTTATGCACTTTCATGAGAAGAAATTCAGAAGAGAAAAGGAAAATGGTGAAGGTTATAGGCCACACATGGCTTGTACTGTATGTGTCTTAAACAGTATGATACATAGTCCAAATTCTACTGTTCCACATTAAGCTTCCTATGAAACAGCCAACTTCATGCATTGCACTTATATAGAGGTGTATTTTTCTCTAAAATTTCAACCGGAATATATGCTCCCTCTAAACTTGTCTTCATAATAGATTTTCTAGTAAACATTATGGTCAGCTAAAAAGCCTGAGCTCACCTGTGAGGTATCTTGAGGTGAGATATTACACATACTTGAATAGGGATTTGAACCAAGATTTCCATGTACCAAGTTCCTCATCTTAACTATTACATCATTTTACAGAATAACAAAGGCTAATCACTCTGCTGTCTGATTCGCAACAGACTCTCCAAATAATTAGAATTGCAAAGTTATGTACATTATCCTATAAGGGAAATTCTACTGTGTTCATTGGAACTAATTTCTGAATAGGTGTGTTTTATTTATTGCCCATGTTAATGCTTTGTCCTTCAGCAACATTTGGAGTACAAGTGGGCAATGTAATTATTATTTTTTTCATAGTCCATGAAGTTCCCCCAAATTGCATTAATCAACATCCAGGGGCCAACCACCAAAACTTACAGTGCTGTGAATATCATCTGATTTTTACTTAGCCAATATGTGAAATAAATCATTAGCCTTCAACTGTATAACAGAATAACAGAGTTGGAAGGGACCTTGAGGTCTTCTAGACCAACCACCTGCCAAGGCAGAAACCCTATACCAAGTCACTCACAGGACTTCACCAGCAAGGTTTGGAAACTAAAATTGGACCTGGATGAAACCATGATTTCCTATGATGTGACTTCCCTCTTCCAACTACCGAACCTGTCATAGTAGTGAAAAAATGAGTGCTACAATACAGCATCTTAAGTCCAGCTTAAGCTCAGACCACAAATGTGCCCTGTTGCACCTCTGCTTGACCACTACCTATTTTAAATACAATGAAGGTTTCTACAGACAAAAACATAGCTATGCCATAGGTTCACCTGTGTCCCCCATTTTGGGCAACCTCTACATGGAAGAGGTAGAAACCAAAGCCTTAGACTCCTTCATAGGAATTCTACCCACTCGTTCATATAGGTAGGTGATACTTGGGTCAATATCAAAACACAGAAATTGGAAGCATTCACCAAACGTAACAACTCTATGGACAGATACATCAAATTCACATGGGAATCTGTTAAGGAAAATAGTCTAGCTTTCCTGGACTGTGCAGTACATTAAAAAAGAAAGAAGCCTTAACATTGTAGTTTACAGAAAATCCATTCACACAGATCAATATTTATATTTTGATTCCCACCACCCACTAGAGCACAAAATGGGAGTCATCAGAAACCTACACCACTGAGGACCTGCCATCAGCAAAAATGGGAAAGAAAAAGAATGAAAGCACATCAAGGAAACCCTTAGAACATGTGGCTATCCGAAGTGGGCTTTCATCTAATCTCAAAAAAGATCTTACAGAGCTCCTCCATAACAGACAAAGAAGAGAACAATAAAGGAAGCAATGTTGTCATTCCATGCGGTGCAGGAATATCAGAAAAGCTCAAGAGGATCTTCAGCCAACATAATACACATAATATGCACACTTCAAACCCAAGAGGTAGAAGCTTGTCCACCCCAATGATAAAACACTCAGACCAAAATGAGTAATGTGGTATATGCAGTATAATGAAGTGAGATATGTGCATATCTGTACATTGGGGAAACAAAACAGCCACTTCATAAATGCATGGTACAACATAGGAGAACAAACCCATCAGGACTAGACTCAGCAGTCCATCTACATTTAAAAGACTTTTTTGAAGACAGCAAAGTCCACATTTTGGACAAAGAGGAACACTGTTTTGAAAGAAGGGTCAAAAAGGCCATCTATGTCAAAATTGAACCGAGGTGGGGGGAATGATAGAACATCATCTATGTCCAATCAATATCTTTCAATAGTTCCAAGAAGACTCCACATTCACTTGCATCAGTCAGATGAACCTGCTGACACAGATAAACCTCCAGATGACTGTAACAACTCAATAAAAGAGGAAGTCTAAGGAGGATCAAAAATGGTTTTCTGTGCGATGACCTAGTAAGGTACTGGAGGCTACCTAAAACTGCTTGTGCCAATGGCTTGATCAGGCTTCCCCAAAAAGCTGAATAAAACAGGAACAGTAGCCCTCTTGGGACTGGAGATGATGTGTATTCTACAGTATATTTCCATATTTTAGTGTAATTTCAAAAGAGCTCATTTTAACTAATTCTACTCAGAGTGAAATGGTCATGAAATAGAAAGAACTGATGAGTATCTGGACATTTTAAGAAGTAGCATGCATAGTCACAAGGTTACCACAGGGTTCATTGAAGATGTTTCGCTTCTCATCCAAGATCACCGATAAGTATAAGTATAATCTTTATTGTCATTGTACTTAAATACAACGAAATTGGTGCTTCAACAACCCTCTAAAAGGATGCAAATGACCAGCTGTCTGCCAGGAATAGAAATCCTTCCATTCCCCACCATCCAGTCAGAGGGAAGAAAACTCCTTGGATGAGAAGCGAAACGTCTTCAAAGAAAAAAACAAGTAAGTCCAGTTGCCTCCTGAAAAATCACCTTTGGAATAACCATGACCTGGATGACTGAGAATCTCTACAGACTTTCATCTTGAAAAGTAGCTTTGATATCAAACCTCTATTTTCTGACTTTACGAATCCGGAAGTGGTCTATGTTGTGGCCTGGGGCTTTTTGACTGTCATCTTTTAAGCCTTTTATGCTTTACAATGTATACTTTGGGTTTCGTCTCATTCTATGCTTCCTGTGTAAAGGTAAGGGTTGAGAATATGTGTTAGCAACAGAACATTCTTCTTTCTGATGATAGCACATCGTTAGGACAATAATCCAGCAGCTGCAGTTGTTATTGGGATGTCACACCAAAAGCCAGGATCAACAGCACTGCACTTCCAACTTGACTCATGAGACCAGAAAAGGATTATCATAAAACCAGGTAATGGATTCATGTTGTTAAATGGGGTAGTTTAAGAGAGGATGCATAAAGCAGCTTTCATGCAACTCATCTTGCAACTTCATCCTTCCCTCAAAGGTTTCAAAGAAATGGGATTAAGAATTGGAATTTGTGAATTAGAGACTCCTCACGTGCTATGCAAACCCAAATGAATGAATACTGTTATAACTTGCTTTATTTGTTTATACATTTGATTGACTTTTTTCTACATGACCTGGATGCTGCAGCAAAAGGTAGTACACATAGTGCTCCATTCCTGACCTTAAACAATTCCCCATGGAGGTGGTTTGGTTGAGAAAGACTGGTTGAAGTTGAGAAAGACTAAGTGATCTTACATGGCTGAGGGTGGCCTTGAATTTGGGTCTCCTTAATAGCAGGTGACTATCCCTGATGGCTTTTAAGGGAATTAAGGAGATTCCTGGAGAAAAGAGGTGTTATCAATATTAGTTTTGAGTCAACTATTCCTGGGCTGACAATAATGTATCCCCAAATGCCATTTGCAGGGGAACTACAACAAGAAAGACATATATCTTCACCTCCTGTTTGTGAGCAAACCAGTGACATCTGATTGGTCATTACGAGAAACAAAATACTCAATAAAGTTACTACTATATTGAGCATATAGTTTTGATATTTATATAAAAATATCAAAATCTGATACTTGATAAATTTGTTTTTTTTAAAAATTCTCCTGAAATTATTTTAGTCTTAACATTCATAAAAGAGAATCAACTGCTTCTTCTTCTTAATTCTAGAATCCTGTTATCTATTGCTTTGTTTCCTTATGCATATGTTGTTGATGAAGACAAAGAAACTACTCTGAAGAAATCTTAGGTTTCAAAAGAAAATACTCAACTGCCTAAAGAAAAGTGGTGTGTTGAATCTATTCATTTTGAGATAGCTTCTACTATCGTAAAGAAGAATTCATTTTGAGAAACTTTCCACTTCAAGTGTAAATGTCAGAGTGATTAGAATAATGACTGAAAATGTACTCAGGAAATGAAATACAGTGAACATTTGCATGCTCAATGGGTAGCATCTTTTAAGCTGTTCTTGATCAGGAAAAAATGTCTGAAAAGGGCACTTCATGATACTTTACGCCCGTCCCCTGATGTATTTTTGGCTGCAAATACATTTTTACACTGCCAGATCGTGGAGACTAAGAAGGTTTATACATTTTGTGCAGCAAACACTTAAACCTTTTTGGAATTTTGAGAACAATTTGGATGCACTTTTAAAATGGCTGCCATTGAAGACTTTGTCCATTTACAAAACAGCCACCATGGTGGGAATGGCCACTTCCCAAACAATACACTAGTAAGTAAACTGATGACCATGATTTCCATCTCCCCTTTAGCCTTCCAAAACTGCTTTCTAAAACAAGGTCCTTTCTTAGCTAAGTGTTGTCCCACCCATTCTTAATTCCTAAGTCAAAGAATTAGGTTGCAATTACTCAACAATTTTATTTTCCAACCATGCTAATGAGCCCATGTGAAATAATTGCATAGACCAAGTAGTGTCCAGAAACATTCTTAGAAATAAAGTTGATCTTGAAGTCTGGTGTTTTGTTAGCAGCATGTCAGCCTCCCAATTAGTGCTTGTGTTAAAATAATGTTAATTCTAATTAAAAATCAGACATAGCAGGGTGCCTGTTTCTTAGCAGGCACAAAATTAAATATATGGTATTTTGAGGTCTAGTGGTATCCTGTGAAGGTCTTCAGTTACATGGATGGTTTTAAGGAACCATATCATTGATATTGTTATTATATTTTATGCTACTTCCTATATAAATGAATCTCAGATATTATAAAATATAAATGCATGATAAAAAGTTTTTTTTTTAAAAAAAAAAGGCAAGAGATAGAAATCTTGGGAAATGAAAACAAAACCCTTTATCCCACATTCATATAAAAAGGCCTAGGTGAATTGTAAATCTCAAGAAGAATGTAACAGGAGGAGCATAATGTTGTTCACTAGACAGAACATTCCAGAAAGCAGCTATCGTTATGGAGAAAGCGGCAGTGCAGTAACTGCAATATGGAATTTGTGGTTCCAGGCACATGCAGTTGGATTTCTCCTGAAAATCTCAATAACTGAGGTCTACAAGAGCAGATGGGTCTAGTGCGTCAGGCACCAGAAAGCAGGGGACCATCAGTTCTAGCCCTACCTTAGCCATGAAAGTTAGTTGGGTGGCCTTCGACCAGTTGCTCCCTCTCACCAAACTCATCTCATTGCATTGTTGTGGGGAAAATAGAAGGAGGAAGGTGTTTTGGATATGAGTTGTTTGTAAAAATAATAAAGGCAGGATAGAAACAAATGAATGCATAAATAAATATTCCTTATATATCATATGTAAAATTATTAACCTGACTAGATAACTAATTATAGCAATGAACCTGCTTTCATGGATATACATATATCATTTCAAACCAAGTACAAAGATAGTCCCATATAAAACATGTCACAATAATCTGAGCATTATTAACGTATGGACAATAATAGCTTAGCAGTCTTCGCTTAAGAAATGTTTTAGCTGAGCTTCTTTTAGGTGTTTCTCACCTCAAAGATCACTTAGACATCCAATTATATTGTTTACATTCACAGATATCTTCTATATAACATTTCCAAGACAGAGTGACCCACTGAGAATAAGCAAGGTTTTGACTTCTATCTACACATTCTCCAGTTTATCAACATTAAGTATCACTTAATTGACTTACATTTTCTCCATCAATTCAATCAGAGGGTGATTTAGATATTATTTAAAAAATTATAGAGATGAGTAGAGCAAACATATTGATGATTCCTTTCCCAAAAATGATTGATAACCACTTCAGAAGCTTCATACAGATACAAAAAAATAGCACCCAGGACAAAATAGCCTTATGGTATACAACGGCATAGTTGTCAGAATTCAAAGACATAAATACTTTTTTATACAATTCCTGCAAGTAGAAGCAGAACTCTTGTACCACAATAAACCTCCCTCCTCATGAAGAAAATCCAGTAACTTATCTATGTTGATATTATCCAAAGTTGTTGAGATATCAAACGGATATGACAGAATGGCTTTACTAAAGAAATCAAATTGCAAATTCTGTGAGATGCGTCCAGAGAATAAATGAATGAGGGAATGGATGAGTGGGAGAGTGAGTGAATGAATTGAAATATGCACACCTTTTCAGGTGAGGTTCATTGAGATTACTTCTTTTATTTCCCACAGCTTTTCAAATCTCTGGTTATGGAGACCCGCCTGCTCATTCCGCTCTACATTATTTCATTCTTCCAAGCGTCAGGAGCCAGGCAGAGTAAGTTTGATTTCTGTATATATTTCAGAATGAACACTAGAGCTGTGTCAGGGTCAAATGCTAATCTAGTAGTTTTCAAATCGTGCCCCTGAGATCCCAATTTCCCAGTGCAAAACACAACCAAAAACCATGGTATATTCTGTATACTGTAGGTGCAATGGTTCACCAAAGAGATCTTCTAAACCCAGTGCTCAGCTATCTGCATGTTTCATAAAGGGATCCCTGAGTAAAGATACAATCAGTGACCCTCTTTGCTTTGTTGCTTTGTGGTAGTGTTTTTATTCATTTGCTTGCCTTCTCCTTATGATTCAGACTTAAAAAGAAGGTAGCAAAATGAGTAGAGACTGATGCTTCTTTCACCTTGTTCTTCTAACTGTTCACTTACAGGGCCCCACAAAGCAACAGGGTGATGATATGTGGGCTTACTAACTATCATGGTGTGTAGTGGGGCCCTTGCTTTGGAAGGGGCCAAGTTATTGAGCCCCAGATCTTGTTCAGTGTGATATGAAAGAAAGAGGAGAAAAGGGTTCCAGAGATAGTGGGGAAGTGGCTGAATTAAATGGATTGATTGTTGGAAGAGGCTTTATCCCACATTTGTTTTTGTAAATAAGCAGAACTATCCCACTGCTTTCTGATCCAAACCCAAATTAGGAAAATATGGTTCAAATAAGTAAGTAAGAGAAGGGGAAGCTAATAATGTACATATGACAAGGAAGAGCCAGAAGGAATAGAAGCAGGAGCTAGGTTGGGTGTGAGATTTCCATGAGAAAAAGCAGGCTAGGTGCCAGAAAAAAATTATATAATTTGTTATTGAAATCAACATCTCAGACCAGTTTATAAGGAAAACAGTAAATAGCAACATAATTGTTTACCCATCATTGGTATTTAAAAAGTACCCTATGATATATTGAATATTTCTTTCATAACCAAAGTGTTGCCCAATGGCTGGCCATATCCATTATATCTTTTCCAATAACAAAATCTGCTCATCCACTCAAAAGAAAAAAAAAGCGGGGGGAGGAATAAGCCTTCTTTTGCCCGCTCAGCCGATCTGGCGTAGTGAGTTTCGCATAAGACAAAATGAAATGACACAACAGATTTTCACCTGTCTACCAACAGATTCTTCAGTTCTGGATTGTTTATATGACTCATTTGAGACAGTCATTTGCACCTGGATCCCTGTGAAAAATGCTACGAAAGGGCAATGCCAACTCACTGCTTCGGTCGAATATGGGTAAGTAATCAGTAAAATGCACTTAGAAGATAAAAACCAGTTTGACTTGTCCTAGGTCTATTAAAGTCATTCATCATTGGAAAAAAATCATCTAATCTCTTGTCAAAGAGATATATAGAATATTGGTTTCCACCAAGCACATTGTCTTCAAAACCCTTAGGAAGATATTGACTTTGAATACTTACACCTCTGCACCTTAATAATTTGCATTTCTGTTTTATAAGAATTTTATTAATCCCCGAGATTCTCAAAATGTGGATGGTAACCACTCGAAGAGATCAGCACCAGTTTTGGGGTTGATAGTAAAACTTTTTCATATATTGTCTTCATCAAAATAGTCAAGCTCAATTTTTTTTGTATTCTTAATTTTTGGTTAAGTCACTCTTCAGTTAAAAGTTTAACAGGTTAATTTGTAACACAATTGACAATATTGTAATCTGTAAATAGGGTTTCTTAATCTTGGCAAGTTTCCCCATGTTGGCTGGGGAATTCTGAGAGTTATTTTACTATTTATTTATTTAGATGTATTAACTGCCCAACTCCAGTGGATTCTGCGATGTATACAAACTAGGACCCCCCCCCCAAAAAAACAGCTAAAAATATAAATTCAGTTAGTCCAAACTAAAATGCTATAATCAATCACATAATCTAATAAATGACAAAATCAACAAAACAAAACAGAGGCCTTAGAAAAATCATCAGCATCAAACCCAGGCCTCGGACCAAAGCCAGGTTTCCAAACCTTTCTGGAGCCCTAGGAGAAGAGTCTAGGACAACTCACCATGTTCTACTCACCATAGCCAACTCATCCCAGCCAACTTGCTGTGACCAACTTATCATGGCCAAATCACCATGGGACAATTCACCGTAGCCAATATACCACAGGGCAACATGTCGGGAGACAATTCAATGCTGTATTGTTTCATTCAGTTACTTTTATTATTGATGACCATGTTTTTGTCAAAAATATTGTAACTCTTGTATTTCTGGGTTGACTTTCCTTGTTTTATTATTATTAGCCATGGTTCCATCAAAATTAATTTAACTTTTGTATTTGTTGAATTGTCCCGTGGCAAGTTGGCCGTGGCAAATTGGCTGTGGCCAGTTTGCTTTTGTTATACCTGCCTATTAGTTTTATAAAATATTTAAATTTATGCATTAAAATTTGAAAATTTGTGCAGTTGAAATTTATGTATTAAAATGTTGATCTGGTTCTATAATTTGTTGTTATTCAAAAGTATACTTACTCATCTGGAGTATTTAAAATTGAAATACCAGGCTGGCACCTGAACATAATTTATCTGAAAAGAGTTGGAGGCATGCTTTATTATGTATTTTGCTCATATGCTGGCTTTCCTTTTAAAGAATCCAGGTTGTATGTAATACAAATGAAGTCCTTCCATACCAGAATTAAAACACAAAAAATACCATTTCAAAAATAGTCCTGTAATCAGATTACAACTCCAAAGTTTGTATACAAATATGTTTTTCCATCATATTTCTTCCAAAATCCATAATTGGAATGCTGCCTCTCATGAAGTTCAGATTCAAGCTATCACAGCGTAGGACCAAATGGCAAGATTTCCTCAGTTAATCTTAAAATATAAATTTAGAAATATTGGGAAATAACTATTTCATTCTGAATTTACATTACAGTTTTATTCACATAAACATCAATATTCCGAATTGGGCCTGGCTAGAGAATAATTCTATCAGTGATATTGAATTAATAAACTATTCCTGTGTGCAAATTATCTGATCCTACAACTGCTGTCTTGCATTGTGTGAATGAATTGTTTATGTGCAAAATTTAGAAATTTATGTGCCTTATGGCAAGTCTTCCTTGCAGGAAACCACCTACGACATGTCAAATGAATGGCACAAGTATAAGGAGCTGTAAACTGATTCTTGAGGTAAGTAATCCTTTTTACAAAATCTTGGCTCTTTTTACAAAAGTTGTTCTCAGTATATGATGCTGGAAAAAAACAGTATTTAATGAAGCACACTTACAGCTACAAAGTGATTAATCCTCCAACACCAAAAAAATTCTTTGTCCTTTGGCTGCATATTTGAGGATATTAAAATTGCCTCATTTCAAGATATAGGGCTGAAATTTCTGTTACAATAATACTTTAACTTGTTCACTGATATTGGTATATGAAGACTCAGGTCTTCTATTATATACCACTCTTATTCTTCTTCATATTGCTTTGATCCATTCCCTTTACTTTGGCAGGGGGGGGAGAGAATATGTCAACTATCACATCAAACTTTTAAGGATATATACAGTATAACAGTTACAACTGATTTGACGGTTGTGGGTGATTTTATTTACTTGTTTCAATTGAAATTGAATTCAAACTTAATATCACAATTCATAAATTAAAAATAATATTGAAATGTACATTTAAATATGCAAACACCATTTCCCCATCAATTAAAAAAACAATTAGTATCAAATTTCCACAAAACATTAATTAGAGAAAAAAAATGAATAGAAAGTTATAACAAAAAAATGACACAAAATATCATCAAAATCAAGAGTTGTAAAATTTGTCTTCCGAATACCTTAAAAAATGAGTTAAAATACAGTTCCAGGAAAAGGAAATTGATTCAGAGCCATTATAAAAAAGGTCCTTTCTCTCTTATGAATACCAGTCTAATTCCATATTAGAAACAGAGATGGAGCGGAGAACAGGCTACCATATTTTCATAACTGAGAAGAAATCCTCATTTCTGAATTGCATCCTCTTCTATTGAGAATCTTGACTTAGATATCGTACCTATATTGGCTTTGATTCTCTGGAATAATTGAACAGATAGACACAATTGTAAAAAATATTTAGGACTTTAAAAGAAATTGTTTATATTTCTATCCCAAATAAACCAGAAGCTAGTAAAGGCTGAACTTCATTAAATTAAAGTGTTAAAAAAATGGGTAAGTCACCTAACTTTGAACAGAAATCTGGATCAGTATTCTGAACCAACTACGCTTTTCAAACCTTCTTCAAAAAGTTCATGTAAGACTACATTAAAAAAAAACTTATAGTAACAGTATCAAAATCATTGCTTTCCAAAAAAATAAATAAAAGCCAGCTCTAGGAACATTAATTAAAGTTATTTAAAGACACTTTTTTAAGATTGTGAAGAATGTATCACTATACACAACACACATACACACAAAATCATACATATGCTACAACTCAGAAATGCATCCCAAAATAACGTTGTGAAGATGACCTGCTGTAGTATTACAGTATGTCTGTGTGAAAGTTCCCTTGCAAATTATATAACTGAACAGTAAATCTCCAATTTTAATTAAGAACATTTAATAGCCATACCTATCATGAGTTACAGAACATCATCTGACATACTTTTATTTTATGTACTGTTCTTCGCAACAATATCTGTGATAGAATAACTGGTTCTGTTCTTAATTAACAGTGCTATATTTGTTTTTAGGATTACAGCTTGACTATTGTAGACACCATTTTCTTCGTTGTGTCTTGCTATACTGGGGAGAAGTGGACAGAGATTCATAATCAGACAATGAAACCATTTCAGAACAGTAAGTTGAAAATTTCTGGTTGGAGATATTTGATACCTGTGCTAGTTCACTAGATTGTATGATATATTTTCCTGTTTTCCATTCCTATGATTCCATGTGCTATATTTCATGTAGCCAAAATAGCACTATGCAATGGAAATTAGGTTCAGCCCAGTCATTGTGACATAGAGGCAACAGCTGTTATCTTTTATTTTAGCTATCAATGAGAGACATTCAACCAATTAAATACAGTCTTTGCTAAACCAGTAGTGGAAACTCAAGGATAATGATAGCTTTGGACTGAAATAATGAATAATGATGTGAAGAAGAAGAAGAAAGTAGCAATAATCATAACACAAGTAGGTCATAATTCAGCACTATAATGAATGCTTGCAGTTTCTCAAAGCAACTGAAACATTCATCCAAACCCACAGCTCAAAATATTCAGAATGCATCATGTATTAAGAACCTTCCCATGTCATCTGACCTTATGTATGCATGTGAATGAAACATTTCTGCCAGGATCGCTGATGAAATGAAATAATGAGAACTGTGAATTTTATGCCGAATCAGATTAGACTCAGCATAACTATTGTTGTCTCCCATGTTCTGGAAAGGATTTGAGACCACCACTATTTTACCAGTTATATAGGCATTATATAATCTTCCAGTTCCGAGGTTCTTCAAATATATTGCACTTACAGCTCCTTCAAAAACCCAGTCAATGTGGTTAAAATCCATGTGAGTGGAACTATGAAAGTTATAGTTGCAACATAATTAGAGGATGTCAAGCTAGGAAAGCTGCAATTTATCAAAGGAAAATACTTGATTCACTCATGGTTAGATCAATGTCAGCTTGTTAACTGTCTACCCAAATTTCAGTAAAACTTGCCAAATGTACTTCTTCCTTTAATATGAGATAAATTTGTTTTTAACTGACCTGGCATCATGATAATAGTGTAGGGATTTCACAGTCAATATCACTTCTCATAGTATTAAGACCAGGAACATGTTCAACGTATCTCTTATCTTTTAATTTCAAACTCTATCATCTTCCACTGTCCTTATCTTTGAGGTCTACTCATCATAATGACCATAAATGAAATCAGAAGTTTGTTTATTCATGTCAAAAGCATCACAGTTAAAATAAGGTATAGCATATGACATACATTTAAAATATAAAATTCAAGATTAAAATATGTACAAATTAAGCAGATCCTGCCCAGAAACCAGCAACATTTATTGTGTTCTGTCGCATTGGCATGATTTCCTCATGTATATATTCATCTGGATGTGTGTTGTTATTTGCATGCCATCACAATCACAAAGAGCAGAAGCCACTTAATAGCTCCATTTGTTCAGAGTGCCTCTGGATATTGTGGTTACCCGAGCACAGTCTATTCAACAATTTCCATACTTCCCAGGTTTCATCACACCCAGGTGCCAGCTCCTGCATTGTTTCCATCCAATGTTGGTTCTTTGTAGCATTCCATAGTCCACTCTTGCTTTAAAATTCTTCAAAGTCTTCCATTAATCTAAGGAAGCTTTTCTTGAGTTTTAATCTCTGATGAGCTGGTTGTAGGTCATAGAGAGGGAGTTGCCTAGATGGTAATGATTGGAGCTTCTCTTGGTGTGCTGCTGCTTCTCTATGAACAGCAGGCTGGGCAATGTTGGCTAGGTGGTAGATCTTATCTAGAGAGATAGGTTTAAGGCATCCGGTAATAATTCTGCTAGCTTCATTCAGAGCCACATCTACTTTCCAATCATGTACTGATTTATGGCAGATTAGTATGGATTCTATCCCCTGCGCTAACTTCCATTGTTAAATTAAGATGATAATTTGTTGTCATGTAAAAAGAGCCAGGTTGTTTGAATCTGCCCACTATATCACAGCCTTCCTATTTCTGTCATCATCGAGTTATCCCTAGATGCTGCTGTGACAATTAAAGTCTCCAGTGACAAAATTTATTTTATCCTTGATAGATGTATTCGATTCATCCCTCTTAATCTCAGTTAGTGGTGGTTTATACACTGAAGTAACGATGTAGTTTCTCAGCTCTTCAGTTATTACTTCTGTGTTATTTATTTCTGATATTGTTGTGGACTTCACAAAAACTGCACCGCCCTACTGTTGGTGGGACCCATCTGCTACAAGCCACCTGCCCTGTATTTTAGGTCTCTGATAGTTGTCTCTGTGGGTCTGCTGTATACACAGGACATCACAGTTATATTTTTGGCACAAATCCCGAAACGGTTCTTCCTAATATATAGACAAACCCTCAATGTTTACTGAAATAATAGTCATCTGTGGACCAGAAAAGGTCCTTTTTTGGATACACATAGTGTCACAGGTGAGAATGAGGACTTCACTACGTTTGAGATACTTCTGGATTGAAAGCCAGCTATAAACTGTTGTTTATAAACCTAGTGCAGCTCATGGAGTAGAGGAGTTACATAAACTTAATGAGAAATGCCCATAACAAGCCCCACCATTGCAACTGAACTTCCAGACAACCTGATGTAGAACACATTGCAATAATCCAATCAAGAGATGACTAATATATGAGTGTCTATGAGAAGGTCCAAGAACAGGTGCAACTAATACACATGCAATGGTGCCTTTGGTCACACTCTTCAAACAAGAACTGTGAGGCCAGGAGGACTCCAGAATTGTACAACAAATTTGAATGAGACAGTGAAAGCCTATCAGTGGTGGGGTTAAAATTTGTTACTATCGGTTCTGTGGGCATGGCTTTGTGGGTGTGGTGTGGCTTTGTGGGTATGGCTTTGTGGGCGTGGCAGGGGAAGGATACTGCAAAATCCCCATTTCCTCCCCACCCCAATAAACTGCTTCTCCTGTTCAGGGCAACAAAAGAAGATCAGCTAAGAGGCTGGGAGGAAACAGGGGCAGGGCCGGCCTATTTGTCAGTTCTCCGAACTACTCAAAATTTCCACTACTGGTTCTCCGGAATCTGTCAGAACTGACTGAATATCACCTCTGAAGCCTACTGAGAATCAAATTTGAGGTCACTACAGTTCCAGTGACTTAGATCTACCCTTAGTTTTGATAGGGCTGAGCTGGAGCCTGTTTTTCCTCATTCAAGCTTTTATTTCATTTATTGCCTTTCTATAGTTTGTATTGTTGTTTCCTGCCAAGAATCATGAGATTAGATAGTATGAAAATGTGATATATGAGTAATTTTTAGCAAGTAGCAAACACTACATAATTTGACATCTTGAATGGGCAGGTTCCATCAAAGAAAATGCACTTCCAAATGCTTCCAGCAACAACAGCTCTAAGTTAGGGGTGTGTGGAATAAAAAAAAGCTCTCTCTTCCTGGTTCTCTTATTGCAGCTGTTGTGGCTTGGTCTATAGAAGCAATTGCCCCAAAGGGAATCCCTGTCGCACACATGTGCATATACACATTAAATGTTTCCCCGCTTTGATTGCATTTGATGTGGCAAGACTTCTTTACTCACAAAAATATTTCTCCTAGGATAGCTCCAGCAACAACTGGTGTGAGTTAGAGAAGGGGGGGTAGCATGAACACATTCCTTCCCATCTCCTTGCAACTGTTGTGACTATGTCCCCAGCAAGTGGTTACACCCAGGCTCCATAAAACACAGGAAGTATCACTTGATTCCTGATTGTGCAGTATTTTTCCATTTCTGCTTCTTAGCTGGCTAAAGCTTCTTTGCCCATCAAAGTGTTCTAACTCAAGCTCCCTGTTTGTCCAATGATGATAATTGTAGTAGATTGGAAAACAATTAGGATTATTAGATAGGACAACTATCTCTCTTGCCATTAGGCTGTTGTTTTGTGGTCAACTATACACAGAAATGGGGAAAGTGGTCAGAAAATAATTATATTCTTACTGAAGTTTATGATAGCCACGATTTAAAATATATTTATAAAACTATTAAGAAAGTGAGTTATCAATTTCTTTTTTGCTTTCAAAATTAGTCCAGCTTCAGCCTCCTTGCAACTTTCAACTGGCAAATGCCCACAAGCCTTCCTACAATTTAACATGGACACTTTGTGTTGTCTCCCACTACCTACATGAAAAGCTGGAATACGAAATACGGTATAGAGCAACTTCTCATGGTGAGGTAAGCAGGAAAATTTCTTTGGGGAAGGCAACAACTTTTATACCCCTGGTGATTTTTTATTCTGCAATTCTGCTTTGGACCCACAATAACATTCTAAGCAATATGGTGTAGGAAAACAAAACAATACAATATACTACAAGTACAAAGGCATGAAAGAACTATCAGCTATTCTTGAAGCTTGATAACAATCGGCTGCAGGCCAAATTTTTGGCTTACTTCAGAAACCAGTCTAGGCCACTGTACGCTTAACCATGCTTTGATGAATAAATCACAGTTAGAGTAGAATAGCTTTATTGTCACTTTGAATATACACTAATTGGCATTTATTAAAATTAAATTTCATTGCATACAGCTCTCAAAGGGTCACCGCCTCCAATATATACAACATAAACATGACAAAATAAATAAATACAAAATTATGCATATTTCCAAATATATTATATGACACAGAGAAACAACGCAGTCTAGTTTGAATGTATACATGTACATGTCAAGAAAAATTAATATTGTGAGTTTACCAGATGGATGGCATAGGGAATAAAGCTGTTACAGAATCTGGTAGTCCTGCTAGAAATACTTTGAAACCTCCTCTCAGAGGGGAGCAACAGACATTAAAGTGAGTGCGTGGGGTCTCTAACAATGCTTTGAGCTCTAAGCACATAACGCTTATAAGGAGTATCCTGAATAACAGGAACNCCCTCTAAAACAAAACTGAAACAAAAAAAGGAAAATTGTCTCCCCTCCTTGCCAACAACACTATTCAAATAACATTTAGAGCTTAGATCATGGGTGTGAAACTAGCATCATCATGTGATGTATCACGACTTTTCCCCCCTTCGCTAAAAGGGGGGTGGGCATGGCCAGTGTAACATATTCAGCCAGTGGCCCGTGAATTCGCACCCTTGACTTAGGTGAAGAATAAGATAAAGGCTACCATCACCACTTCAATAAAGTTAAAGGCCGTAAGGTAGCTGTTAGAATGCATAGACATTCTAAAAGGTGATTTTTTTTTAATGTCATCATTATGCGGTTCATCTGCATCACAAAAGTTTTTATTTTTCTAAATGGATTAGAAGTTAATTTCACAACGTGTTCCTTCATGTGTACACAAAATGAAAGGGTAATGGGGGTATATTAAGGTATCTACCCATATTTGCAAAATAAATATGAGCAACCTAATTGAAAGCTGTTGTGCACATTTATTTAAAAATGCACATGTGTTAAATGTGTTAAATGTGTCCTAATTTATCAGATACCCCTTTTTTTGAAAATCATTTAATTCATATTAATTAATTAAATAAATTTAAATTTTATCATATTTTAGTTTGGTTTAAGGTTTAGAAAACTTAAAAGTTCTAGAGAGCATCCTATATACAGATCTCAATGAGAAGAAAGGAGAATAAAGTTAATGCCCTACATATAGCAGTTACCGCAGTGAGAACATCCATTCACAGTGAGGGTTAAAATGTTTGCTTTTATCTACCTTAGGATAAAGGGAGCACTATATGGTTTAGGAAATCACCTCTTAGCTTCTTCTGTCCATCATTAACTGGCTTTCAGAAATGTCAAAGAGGCTGTAGAGTGGAGTGAAGTCACTTCCTTTCCCTTTTAGAAGAAAGAGATTATAGGATATGACAAGGCCGAGCCTGAGGGAGGGGTCAAATACACCATAAGTCATGAGTCCCTTCACACTTGCAAGAGATTTAAGTCCAGCCACCTCGAATTCCTTTCTATTCTTAATTCCCATGCATTTCCCTTAACTGTCATTTGACCAGTTTCTTGTAGCAAACTTAACCTTAAATTTCAAACCCAAAGTTGTCCTATTTCAGTCATCTCCATTCCAGTATCTTATAGTTGTGACCCTGCTGGTTGGAGCCAAAATATCTGGAAGACATTAGGCTGGGGGAGATTGCTCTGGGGAACATGGCACATGATGTTGTTATCTATGAAATATACTAACCAGATATATTACAGGTCAATAGCTTGTGGAAATGGGATAAAATTTCTTGAACATCTATATGTTAAGGTATGTACTGCAGCTCATTTTGAATACTAAACCCCCTTTCTGTACTTTTCCAACCAGCAGAAGTGGTTGTCCTCCCCAGCATCCATTTCTTCCTTCCATATTACAGCTGAAGCTTCCAATGTCTCTATGTTAGAGATAATGCAGAGTTGCAGCAAGAACTCCTATCTTCTCCCTCCTAAGGAATACTTCGAAAATATTGAGAACATAACAGAGACCAGTGGACAGTCCTCAAGCAGCTGTTTTACAAACCGTGGCTATTTCTTATTCCATCATCTTGATTCCCTTGAGATTGATTCCTGCAAGGTGTATTTTACCTATGATGCTTTGACTCATAGTGAAAATAGTGATTCCTATTTCCACAAAGCGCTCCATGATGAAAATCACAATATCGCATTATCTACCAACATCATGAGTGACCAGGAAAATGATGCTTTTCTTCAAGGTTATTCAAGAGGCAGTCTTCCATCAGGTGGTGACTTCCCAATAGCATCAACAGTAGAACAGAATGAGAACACAGAAGAGAGAGTTCCTCTTGCCTTCTCTTCAAAATCCCCTGAGCAGTATTCCATAGATGATTCAAGCGAGCCAAAATCATCTAGCCACAATACTGATGGAACAGAATTACTCAGAAATGAAGACTTATCTAACAATGTTATGGGAAATGACAGGTTCATGTTTTTAAATCAAGGCCAATCCAATTATATCTGCAGAACTGCATCCTCCAGCCAGATCCCCAGTTCCTCAGAAGCCTATTTGTCCTTGCGGGATCTTCAGAGACATTATAGTCATCATTCTGTCTAAGTCCACAATAGGAAGCCTCTTTTGAGAGCAAATTAGTTTCTTTATCTATATATATAAAAGCCAAATACCACTCAATCATCACAAGATCTCCAGAACTGTAAAGCCTACAAACTTGAAATTCAGCATGTATGTTCCTCTTCTAGGTGCTCGATAAGAAAATAATTTTTTGAAATGACCATTATATCATCAGTATTTCTTATACAGTATTATATTAACATGCATCAATGCTAAGGAGTTAGATGTTCTACTCCTCCTTCCCAACCTGAAAGGAACTGCCAGTTGCCTTGTATTAACATGCTCTGATGCTACCTCTTCATTGGACCGGTTGTGGGCGTGGCCAGCACGTGACTCATCCAGCCTGTGGGCTGGGTATTTTGACATTCTACTCCCCCTCCCCACCTGAAAAGAACTCTGTTCCAACTGCAAGTTGCCTTATATTAACACGCTCTGATGCTACAGAATTAGACATTCTACATTAATTTTTGTTCTGACCCCCTCCTCCGTCCAGTAATGAATG